TTGTAACGTTCATAGATGATTGCATACGGATGACATGGTTATACCTTCTTAAGCATAAAAGTGATGTGTTTCTGGCGTTTAAGACATTCCACACCATGGTTCAGACACAATTTTCCACTAAAATCTAGATTTTGCGATCTGATAATGGTGGTGAATATGTTAATAATGATTTTACACATTATTTAACTAATCAAGGAATATTCCATGAGATTACTTGTCCTCAGACACCTCAACAGAATGGGGTGGTTGAGCGCAAAAATCGCCATCTATTAGAAACGGCTTCATCATTATTGATTAGGGCGGATGTTCCCCGCTCCTCTTGGGATGTTGCTCTTCAGACTTCCACTTACCTTATCAACCACATGTCATCCAAAGTATTGAATTTTCTTACACCTTTGCAAGTTCTTGCTACATTCTTGCCTCTACCGTCCATTTTGGTGCTCCCACCACGAGTTTTTGGTTGTGTTGCCTTTGTTCATCTACATAAAAATCAACGGACAAAACTTGACCCATGTGCTCTCCGTTGTGTTTTCATGGGATATGGACTACATTAGAAAGGGTACCGTTGTACCACCCTCTTTCACGTCAGATGTATACTACCATGGAAGTTACTTTTTTTTAGTCTAAGATGTATTACTCTCCAGCTTTTTCCAACCCTCCTCTTCACGGAGAGACACTGCATGACGAGCAGGTTTGGACCATATATGGCTACTACCACTGATCTTCCGCTGCCACTAGTAGCTGAGCCAATAGTCGAGCCCGCAGTGGCTACGATGCCAGCCCAGCCAACAAAAACAACATCCTTGCTCATAAAACCAGCGGCAGGCACGACACTACCGTCCTCACTCACGGCAACAGGGTTGCCACTTGTTGATCTTGAGACTTCTACTGATATTACTCCCCATCGTCTCAAAATATAGTACCGCCAAATGACCATACTCCAGAGAATATTCCTAAGGTAAGATCTACTATCCCTATTGATGTATTCGATGTTCTGAATTATCAGTTACCTTTCAGGCATAACCAGGGAAAGCCACGCAATCGATATTCACCGGAAACAACAAAAGTCTCTAAATATCTCATTGCCAACTATGTGTCATCACATAAATTATCAAAACTCGGCAAAACTTTTGTACAACAAATATCCAATGATAGCACACCAAGTTCATTAAAAGAGGCACTATCTGATGATTGATGGACCAAGGCAATGAAGGAAGAAATGGATGCACTTCAGAAAAATCAAACATGGGATTTAGTTCTGCTACCCTGAGGAAAGAAGATAGTGGGATGTCGATGGGTGTACACCATCAAGTACAAAGCCGATGGGTCGATTGAATGATACAAAGCACGATTGGTGGCCAAAGGATACACTTAGACGTATGGTGTTGATTATACAGAAACATTTGCTCCGGTAGAAAAGATTAATACGGTAAGAGTGTTACTTTCGTTGGTGGCTAACTTGGATTGGCCATTACAGCAATTTTATGTGAAAAATGCTTTCTTACATGGTAATCTTAAAGAAGAAGTGTATATGAATATTCCACCTGGTTAGGCATCGGTTTCACAACCCGGAATGGTGTGTAAGTTGAATAAGGCATTGTATGGATTGAAACAATCACCTCGAGCATGGTTTGGTAGGTTCTGGACGGCTATGAGGAAGTATGGGTTCAAGCAGAGCAATTCTGATCATACACTTTTCTTGAAACGTCGAATGGGTAAATTGATGGCAATTATTATTTATGTGGATGATATGATTGTTACGAGTGATGATAAAGAGGAAATATCAAGCCTGAAAGATTACTTAGCAACTGAGTTCGAGATGAAAGATCTTGGTGGATTGAAATATTTCTTGGGTATAGAAGTAGCTCGATCTAAACAGGGTATATTTCTATCTCAAAGAAAATATGTTCTTGACTTGTTAGCCGAAACCGGAATGCTTGATTGTAAACCGGTTGACACCCCTATAGTCCAAAATCACCATCTTGCCGTGCACCCTGATCAAATTCCCACTAACTGAGATCGTTATCAAAGGTTAGTTGGGAGGTTAATTTATTTATCTTGTATCAGGCCTAATATTGCATATGCAGTAAGTGTTGTTAGTTAATTTATGCATTCCCCGAGTGATACGCATATGGGTGCAGTTGAACGCATTCTACGATACCTAAAGTCTGCCTCGGGTATAAGCATCATGTTTTCTAAGAATGGTCATTGCCAGATAGAAGGTTTTACCGATGCAAATTGGGCAGGGAATATTACTGATCGATGGTCTACATCGGGTTACTTTACATTTGTGGGGGGAAATTTAGTGACTTGTCGGAGTAAGAAATAGAAAGTGGTTGCTTTATCAAGTGCAGAGGTGGAATACAGAGGTATGGCAAAAGGAGTATGTGAATTATTATGGCTTCGGAGGTTACTCAAAGAACTCGAGTGTCCTTCAATGTTGGCTTCGAATTTGTTTTGTGATAATAAAGCAGCAATTGATATCTCACACAACCCAATCCAGCATGATCGCACGAAACATGTGGAAGTTGACAGACACTTCATTAAGGAAAAGTTGGATGGGAATATTATTCAATTCGTGTTCGTAAAGTCAGAGGATCAATTAGCGGACATCTTAACTAAAGCTGTTGCCAGTTAAGCGTTCTACAACTCTCTCAGTCAAGTTGGGCATGAACGACATTTATGCATCAACTTGAGGGGGAGTGTTGGAGAGTTGACCTTTGTAATTAGCTTAGTTACCTGTTTGGGTCCTTGTAATCAGGATGTAATTAGGATAGATATTATTTTGTGTTTTTTTCCTTGTAAATCAATCTTGTACAATATATATTTCCCTCCTTGATGAGAAGAATAATATCAGAAAATTAAACCCCAAAATAAGCCCGAGTTAGCAGAGGCGAAGTGAACACAATGAACTAATGGAAGTCAACTTCTTTCTATGTGCTTTCTTGCTGGAATCGATGCAAATTGTTTGCCTCTCAGTAATTTATATCTTCATTTTCGATGAAAGCTTAAGGGTTTGGTATTCTTCTTGAATCTATTTAAAAAAAAAAAAAAAAAAAAAACTATTGAATATCAAGTAATTTAGTTATATTCACCATTTTTTAAGATGTCTAATATTCACATATTTCTTTTTACTTTTCACACCCTTTATTAATTTATATCCTTTGATTTTCTTCAATTCATTTGATCCGACAGCTGAAAATTAAAAAGATGTGTGAGAAGTAAAAAGGAGTGTGCACACACCCTTTTCATAAAACAAAGAATTGGATCAAAGAAGAATACTAAATAGATAATTTTCCTATTAATAAACACTTGTATGACCAAAATATACACATATTTGCGTAATTTCAAAAGGATCCTAACCAGTCAGAACCTCATGTACAGACCCTACGCCACCTTGTGCAGCTATAAATCTCCATTTCGTCATTATTTTTCGGTTTATTGTGCTTATTGCCATGCCTCATCAGAATCAAAGACAAGTTTTGCAGCATATTTTTCTTTCAATCCTTCAATGCCTTCCATCAATTTAGCAACCAAGTCTTTCAGATTATGACACTACTCTCTTCATCAGCCTTTGATATAAATGAACCCACAACATTCCTAGCTAAGTTTTCTGGCAAGGGAGGCACAACCCTTTTGCGCAAGTTCACATCTTGATAGAAAAATGAAGGCCTTTGCTTCCCCAAGTTTGATCTCGATGCTTTGGTTGCAGACTTCCAAATGAGCGCTGAAACCACTTCTACGCATGTAGGTTTGGGAACAACTGAACTGGCTAATTCAGATCGAAGAGTGGCATTCTTTGAGGCATCAAACACATACCTCTATGTTATGAATTTTTCTTTGATGACTTCCCTTGCTGGTGACTGTGATGAGTAGAAAATCCTATTGGTCAAAAAACAGATGCGGCACCAAATTCTGGAAGGTTCAGTACCTGATCACTGTCACTTGACCCAAGGGCTATTATGGCCCAACAATTCATGAAAGTTCATAATGTGGATGCATCAGCCAATCCTATGTGCAATGCTCAACCCAATTGCCATTCCACCACACTCAAACAAATTAACTTGTACAAAAAGCAACCAGCCTGTGCTTCTTTGGATTCAATTTCAATTGGAGGATTGGTTTCAATATCTGGCCATCTGGGTTCTCCAAAATATCCAACAAGCAACAGCTGATTTGTGCTTTGATGAATGCAGCACCATCATCATTGCACTTGACTATGGAATTACCTTTGACAATCCTTCCTGCTGAAGGGTAGAAGTGAGTGAGAGTTTTAGCTAATAATTCCATTAGATGCTGGCATCTAATGCATGGTGGCGAGTACTGACCTTACTGGTTGTAATGGTAGTACTGGTAATGGGATAGGAGAGAAGTAGTGGGGTGTAAATTTCGATAGCCATCTGATCGAAAAAAGAGAGCGTATAACTTCTCAAGTGAAGAGGAGTTAAGGTGGAAGGTTTAATTGCTTGCCAGTCAATAATTTCTACCTTGATTTCTGTGGCCATCTTACCTTGCTCTAGGTAGTTGATGCCTTGCTAGATCATGTAAACACTTATGATTTGATCATATAATATATATATATATATATGCATATATGTATAGGCTCTCCTTAGTATTCACCATGAGCGCTCAAGTGCTAACAAACTCGAGTTTACGGCGCTGCACATATTTGTATTTATAGCGATGCTATGCATAGTGCCAAACTCTACTACGGTATGCATAATAATTAAAAAACAAATCCGGTCTTTTATAAAGAAAAGTCAATGATTAAAAGTAACACATTCTTAATCACTCCACAAAGAGAACGACATCACACCAACAATTGAAAGCGAGAAGAGGATACTAATTAATTACAGAGTCATATAGAGAAGCATCTGCAAGCAAGCGGCTCCTGATTGCTTTAGTTATGGCCATGGCTTCTTCTTTTGAAGTCAACTGAGCTGGTATGCCATTGCCATCTTCAAAGACCACGGTTCATGTATTAGATAATAATTGAAATACACAGACGGTGAAATATATCTCCTTCATTCATTGATTGTTCTAATATGAAGCTGAAAACATATCAAATTTATTGAAGATGCAGTACAGAAACAATAAGGAGCAAAAAGTAATGAAAGCACACAGACAGTAGAAGCATCGAAACAATAATTCAAATGTATACAATCACATCCATCTAAGAACCGCAAGAGGATGTTAATTAAATGACAGGCGGATTCACAGAAGCATATGCAAGCAGGTCTTCATGTTTTTCAATTATGGCCATGTCTTCTTCTGTGACAGTCAACAACGCTTCCACACCAACACCATCACTTGTGTCCATTAATAGAATCGTATTCTTGAATTCACTACCATAAGTACTCACCCATGATGGCTGCCCCCATCCAAAATTTGTTTCATAGAAGGGAAACCTGCACCAACTGCTACAACTATAGGTCACCATACTGTCATTTATCAGGATGTTCCCAGACTCTTTGATGCTTTGAAGTGCATCCTCACAACTAACACTGTTTGGATACTTTTCTTTATATTCCTCAATGCCATTCCTGAATTTTGCAACCAAGCCTTCCAGATCCACCTCACTCTCCATACTCATTGCCGCAAAGTACCACAAAAAGTTCCCCAATATGTTTTCCGCCAAGGTTTTCCCTGATCTTTTTCTCATGTTCACCGCTTGAGACCACACAGATGGTTTTGTAAAACCTAAGTTTGATCTTGAAGCTTCCATTGCACATTTCCAAATGAGCGCTGATACAACTTCAACTCGTGTAGGATTTGGCACAGTGGCACTGGCAGCTTTGGACTTGAGAGCAGCAACCTTTGAGGCATCAAACACAAATCTCTTTGTTATACCCTTATCTGGAGGAAATTCCACGGTTACTTGTTGTGAATTGAAGATATCTTGTGGCGGGAAGAGAGTAGCTGCGATGCCAAATTCTGGAGAAGGCACTGCATGGTCAGTAGCACCTGCCAAGCCAAGGGCAATTGCGGTCCAGCTTTTGATGAATGCGCTGAGTGTGGAAGCATCAGCGACCTTATGTGAAATGCTAATCCCAATTGCCAATCCACCACATTTAAATGAGCTGACCTGCACCAGCAGAAGATGCCCTGTCTCTGCTTGCTTGGAATCCATTGAAGTTGGAATCAACTGTCTGAAGATCTGGAAATCAGGTTTGTCCAAAATCTTCGATATGGGACAGTTGACTTGGGCTTCAATCAATCCAGCCCCATGGTCACTGCAGCTGATAGAAACATTATATATAAATTCTCCTGCAAAGGGGTAGAAATGAGTGAGGGTTTTAGATAACGATTTTTTTAGAAGGCTGAATCTATAAGCAAACGAAGCATGGTGATCGAGACTGGCCTCATCACCGCCATTGGGATAGAAGAGAATTAGTGGGACATAAATTTCAGGGGTAAGCTGATCATAACCGGAGAGGCTGGTAGTTTTAAGGTGGTGAGGAGTTGGAGAGGAAGGTTTAATTGTTTCCTTGTGGAGGATTTCAACCTTGATCTCTGAAGCCATCTTATTGCTCCACACTTGAGTTGCATAACAAAACAAAGACCCTCAATATAAAGGAGGCGAAGTGAACACAATGAATTAATGGAAGTCAACTTCTTTCCATGTGCTTTCTAGCAACACAATGAACTAATTAATGGAAGTCAACTTCTTTCCATGTGCTTTCTTGCTGGAACCGAAGGTAAACTGTTTGCCTCTCGGTATTTTATACCTTCATTTAAGAAAGTCTTCTTAGCATTTCTCAAGTTATAAACCATGCTTCTTCTGTTTTCATAAAGAGTAATGCTAGCGAAACTAAATTTATTGACTAAAATTGCAAACTAAATGATGTGTCACCAATAATAAATAAGCACATTAATCAACATTTAAGTAATAATTCAATCATCAACTTCCATTTCTTTACTCCAATTGCTTTCACCGCATTATTTTCTTCAACAAAAGTAAAAGTTGTAAGAGGAGATCTTACACCATCAAGAATGTCAATATTCCTCCATATCCTCAAACCGTAAAACGCGTATGAGGTCATTACTAACCTTAACCTGTAGTTGGTAATCTTTTTTTCCCTGGATTTTGTAAGAGCTGCAGACTTTGGTTTCGTTACGTTGGCAAGAGAAATGTGCTCCTCCCTTCGAACTCAAGTTTGAACCTAAACAATTTCACTAGGTTGCGCTCATACTTGTAACTTGTTCGAATGCATGAAAAAAAACATACTTACATAGGAAACCTGATCTGCTCTATGTATTATGCTAATTAGTCAACTATGAAAACCAATTGCATACCATATAGCCCCAAAAACTTAAGTTGCTAGGGAACACATGACGCTTTGCCCCATGCTACAAACTAAACAAATTAAGAAGTGAGGAATCTTGGGGAATCAGAACATCTCGCCAAAAAGTCTCCAGCATGTAACATGTTAGACGGTCACTTGCCTAAAAAATTAATTTGTCTGGGAAATGGGGGCTAATAATGCTTCGGGAGCCCTTAGAAATCGACAACGTAGGCCTTGTTTGAAGGAAGCCAAGGCCATACTTGAAGGCAACAAAGAGCTGCTCCGAATCTGACTGTAGTACCCAAAAAAATTAAACCCCTCCTCTCTTGTGCTTCAGAAATATAACTTATTCATTCATGTTTGTTCTTATATAGTTCAGAAAACATATCATTTTTTATCGGGAAAAAAAACCACACATACAAATAAGAGGCAATGAAATGAAAGCACAAACAGCAATGAAACGAAATCACAAACATAGTACAAGCATCGAAGCATTCTTGAGAGAGCTCCAAATCAAAGATCCACACAATGTAAGCACACAAAGTAATGATTAAATGACAGTTGAATTCACTGAAGCATACGCAAGCAGCTCCTTGTTGCTTTCAATTATGGCCATGTCTTCTTCTTTGAGAGTCAATGTACGCTTCTATGCCAACCCCGTCACTCATGTCCATCAACAGAATTTTATTCTTCAACTCACTGCCATGGGTACTCACCCATGAAGGCTTCCCCCACCCGAAATTGGCTTCGTAGAAGGGAAACCTGCACCAACTGGTACAAGTATAATTTTCTGTACTATCCTTTAGCAAGAGATTCCCGGACTCTTTCAAGCTTTGAAATATAACCTCACTACTAAGTCCATTAGAATACTTTTCCTTATATTCCTCAATGCCTTTCCTGAGTTTCCCAACCAAGCTTTCAAGATCCAATTCACTTTCCATAGTCGTTGTTGTAAAGTACCACAAAAAGTTCCCCAATATGTTTTCTGTCATTGCCTGCCCTGATCTTTTCCTCATGTTCAACACTTGAAGCAACACAGATGGCTTTACAAAACCCAAGTTTGATCTCGATGCTTCAGTGGCACACTTCCAAATGAGCGCGGACACAACTTCAACACGCGTTGGATTCGGCAGGGTGATACTGGCAGCTTTGGACTTGAGAGCAGCAATCTTTGCAGCATCAAACACAAATCTCTTTGTTACACACTTGTTTTCCGCAAATTCCACAATTGGTTTGGATGAGCTAAAGAAATCTTGTGGTGGGAATAGAGTAGCTGCAACCCGAAACTCTGCAGGAAGCACAGCAGGAACAGTAGTAATACCTGAGCCAAGGGCAATTTCAGTCCAGCTTTTGATGAATGTGCTTAGTGTAGAGGCATCGGCGACCTTATGTGAAATGCTGACCCCAATTGCCATTCCACCACATTTAAATAAGTTGACCTGGACAAGGAGAAGATGGCCTGCCTCTGCTTGCTTGGATTCTACAGCAGTTGGAACAAATAGTTTTAGGATCCCTAAATCAGGGTTCTCCAAAATCTTCGATAAGGAACAGTTGACTTGGGCTTCATGAAATCCAGCCCCATGATCATTGCATCTGATCGAAACGTTGTATACGAATTCTCCGGCAAAAGGGTAGAACCGAGTGAGGGCTTCAGACAACGATGTTTTCAGAAGGTTGGATCTTTCAGCAAACAAAGAATGGTGATCAATATTATTGACCTCCTCATCACTGGAGCTGGGATAGAAGAGAAGTAATGGGACATAAATTTCAGGCGTAAACTGATCGAAAACCGAGAGATCGGTACTTGAAAGGTGGCGAGGAGTTGGAGAGGATGGTTTAATTGTTTCCTTGTGGGTTATTTCAACCTTGATCTTTTCTGAAGCCATCGTTTTTCTCCACTCTTCGACTTTCACAATCATAACAGGACCCTCCATATAACGACGCAGATCTAGATCACCATTATAATATTGTCTCATTATCTACCATTTGCGACTCGAGCAAAGGAAGGCATTGACTAGACATAACCAAAAGTGATCCTATTGTTTGGGTATTGTTCTCCTTAAGGGCTCCATTGTCACTTCTAATACAAACATTTCGAGATGAATTATTTAGAGCATTCAAGATAAATTATTTAGAGAATTGGTCATAAACTCTTATGGAGCATTATTTTCAATCAGGCTTAACTTTATTAACCTTCACTTTTGAGGATTTCAAAGTTTGGAACCTATATATCTGTCATGCCTCAGACATAGAATAGAGTTATATACGTCACTTATGAGACAAGAGCAAAGTATCTATATAGATTCACGATGTTCTTAAAAATATCATTGCTCCCCCTAACGACGAGACAATTTAGTTAAAATACACAAAAATGCGGTAAATACAAGCACAAGTAAATCAACTCAAACCCCAATATTAATTGACAAAACCACCTTTGTGTACACAATTACTTGTTGATTGGAAAATTTACCTCAACTGAATTGATCATGATGATGCATGTGATCAAAATGCATCTCCTAAGCAAAAATTAGCAATGAATAAAATGCTTAAAGCTTTTGTTAAGCCATGAGAAGTTATGTGCTCAAAGTTATCCTAAGTGACTTGAAATAGCCTTCGAAATTTGAGAAATTGCAGTATAATAACTAGCAAATAATATTATGACTATTGTAGCAAGAATTTGCTGTCTTCAGCCTTGACGAAGCCACACGCGCCCAACTTTTTTTTTTTGTGGGGGGGGGGAGTGGGGAGAGTTTGGCCAATGGATCTTCGATGCCTAAGTCAGTAAATCAGAAAAGAGTCAAAATTTTAGGGCTTGTATATATGCGTAGCGTAGAGCTTACCAGTGGATGGTGGAGATGAGGTATTTATGGGAGGTGGCCGAATGGACGAAGAAGGTATAATTCCAAGATATTAATTAGGAGATAATATCATAGAATTATCATGTAAGTATCCTTAATTGATAGTGATGAGGATTCCTTACTTGTTTGAGTTGTTCTTCAATCAGGAATGTATTAAAGATAGGATTTGGTGATAAATCATATCTTTAATGCTTTTGACTTTTCTATGCCGCGAGAAGATGAGCTTGATGGTGTCGTAGGTAGCTGCTCGAGCCTCCAGGGAAGTTGAGCTGCGCATGCGAATATTTGAGAGCCCTGTCCATTTAATGAGGGTAAATCTTGTCTTCTTTGGGAGAAAGTTCACGTGTCGTCTTCTGGATTTTTAGGATTATTTTTTACTCCACAATGACCATCTTATAGGTACATCTAGGTCAAATAGTACACAATTAGATGATGATTAAGCTCACAAATACGCTTTTAAATTCTTGAGAAGAAAATGGGGATTCAAAGTCAATTTTGACTTACATTGTTTGAGGACCAATTTTCCTTACAAGCAATCCTTGCAAGGACGTGCACAAAGCACTACATTGAGGCCTAAACAATATGACCGTACAAATTTGTAATAATCCTACACATCATTGTGGATGTTGAATAGCCGAGATAATCTGGCCATGATTTGTTAATGAACTTCTGGTTCATGACAAACATACATTACTTCTTTTGAGTGTGTGATACAACTCGTAAGAGAACATAGAAGCTTTTTTCTAAAAAAAAAATGAATTGAACGGGATTAACATATAATTCAATATAAAAATAAATAAACTCAATGAACGAATGCATAGTAATATAAGAAAATTGAAATCATCATAATAAAATGCTGAAAAAATAAATGTAATAAAATGAAAAGCCAAGCTAATGGGAGATAATTCAACTGTTAATTGCTTGCAAGCTCAAGCAGATCGGAGATAAAACTCAACAACTAGAATGGAATAAAATGATTTTTCCGTATGTGTGGAGGGCAAATCTTATACGTCAAAGTGGTTATATCCGCCGAGTTAAAATTCGTGGGAGAGTTGTAAAATTGTCTCCAACATTTTTCCTTTTCTTTTAATCAAGACTTGATAAAAATACACCAAATGTTTTGGTGTAAAGCAGTCATGCTCGATGCCTATAATTGCATAACCATAAACGTACCAAAAGTTAGTTTGCGTTGGTTATGTAATTAAGCCAAGAAATTTCAGGCTGTCAATTATATAGAATCAACGAACTCTAGGTTTTAACTAGGATTCATGCCCGCGCGATGCGACGGGTCGTAATTAACAAATACATATAAAAAGGGGCAAGTAAAAGAGTTCATGAATTTCCACAGTGTACCAAGTTAGTAGAAATGTACTCCAAGATGACCAGGTCAAAAAGAGATTCCTTCACTCTCAATATGGTTTATCAAAAGTAATGTCTTATTTCTTCAAGCCAAACATGTAGGACAACACCAATCACAACTACAAATACTAACAATTGTGCAAAAGAGTTATAAAAACACTCATGTACGATATAAGAACAAACCTCACAATTGGTCTTAAGAATTGTTTTTCCAAAGAGACCCCTTACAATGCGATCTAAAAGAAAACAAAACATGAATAATATCAAGGAAAGTACATTTTCTCTGTCAAGTAAAATCTACAGCAGGTAATGAACAAAATACAAAGTTCTCAGCTTTAATTTAATTATTATCAAATATTGAGGGAAATTAACAACTACCCAGAAATGTTTGCTCAAAATTAATTGATAATATGAATAATTAAATTACACAACATTTACAAAACCCAAAGTTCGTAGCTTAATTTGATCTTACCATTTAAGTGGAAGAAGTAAAAAATTATACATAAATGTTTGCACACAATTAATTGATGAAACAACCAATTGGGCAATCAAACCCCCTCTCTCATATCACCTGACGGCAAGATTTGAACCCTTGACGGGGTAGTGTGGTCATTTTGACTCCTAAACTGTAGTGATCCCCAGCAAAAGAAACCGGCAAACAAAGAAAAAAGAACAAACGATGAGCAATAAAACTCACAAACCATAATACACAAAATTCCCTATAACGTAAATTGATAAAGCATTTTACCCAATCCAATTGAATTCCTGATGACAACGCATAAGATAAACTAATAAACCATTGTATCCAAATAACCATTTAATTTTAAACATTTAAAACCGAAGAGAACCAAACGCGCATATTTGGAAAAAAATGGAGTGTTTTGAGTATATAAATCTCACCCTCAACACTTTAAAAATGCAGCGGTCCCAATGGAAAGAGAACTTGCAAAACAGCGTCCCAGCACAAACACAACATATAAAACAAACAAACGAAGAAAAAAAATTTTAAAACCGATAATGAACGTTAAAATTCAAAAATCCTAGGATATAAAATCGCAAACAACATAAAAATTAATAATAAAAGTTATGAAAAAACAAACACCGCTTGACACCAAATGCTTGAAACCAACGACGACCCCAAAGGCAAGCAAGCAAAATCTCAAACCAGTTAAGAAAAAATTAAGAGTCCATTCCTCTGTCATATTCTTTTCCCCTGTTTTGCTACCCCTATTCCCCCTCTTTGTCCCCTTTCTCTCTCACCCTAATATCTCACCTGCAAAATCTTAACGCTGCTGCCTTCCCCCACCAACAAACCCTCAACACCCTGTAATGTTATTTTCTTCCATATCTATAACCAAAAATGCATGCATAAGCACGGTAGAAATTTGCAAAAACCCACAACACAACCTAACTAAAAATCTCACGGATTAAAAGTTTCACCAAAAGAATCCTCCATCTCTCTTATCAAATGAAAACTCCAAAAGCAATTCAATGGTTGATAACAACCCATTTAAAATTGAACCCAAAAAAATTAAAAGCTTCTCTCACATTGATTAGTTGTTCATTCTGCACCTGCATTTTACTAATTCTACGTTAAGAGTTCCATGTACAACTCAAAAAAGCAGATTTTAACAACTAAAAGAATGGACAGTAACACTATATGACCGTGTTATGATAACAAATGATAAACAAAGATTTGCTCAAAAAGCACAGCGTAAAAAAACTCCCAAAAACAAAGATCAGGATCTCTTCATCTGAATTATAAGTATTGTATATAAGTCTTCAAATACAGGACTAATGTGTTATAAGTATGGTGTGTGAAAAGTATTTACAGAACATTGTTCCAAATCAATGGTTGGACAGAATGAAGTATTTACATAACGTTGTTCCAAATCAATAGTTGGACAGCATAACATGATAAACTTATTTTGAGCAGGAAAGTGAAAAACTGTCTAGCAACACAGTCTATCAAGAGATGTAAGTTCTCTATATACATATATATTTATATCAACTTGTCATATTTTATAAAACTAAAAGCATGACAATAAAGGAACCTTGGCTGCCATAAGTCATATCCGGCAACTGCTTCAGCCACCCCCACTAGAATTTAGGGTTGAGTGCATTTCATTCGAAAATCCATCACTATGAAAAATGAAAACAAAAAATCAATTCAAATCCAACATATCCAACAACCCAAATATTATAATAATCTAATCAGACAATAAACAATTAGAGATGAAGCTTAATTACCATAAAAAAATGAGGGGTTGTCTGGTAGAAGCTAGTTGAAGCTTCATCAAATATATAGAGGATGATCAAACAATCAGAGACTAATCTCTCAATTACCTTTCCCGTTCCCAGAAAATCATTTCCAGGCCCACTATGAAATATTAGAAGGTCCGTAAACTCATAAGGCTAATATAGTAAATTAAGTCTCTTCTATCCCTTGCAACGCAAAGCAAAAGAAAGCCCCCTCCTTTTCATAATCCCATACAAGGTGAGGTTAACACTTGCAGAGAGGGAAAATGGCTTATCACTTATGCCATATCTATTGTCTAACATACCTTGAACTGCCAACATCTTTTTGAAGAATGAGATTCCGACCAAGAGAAGCATATGCAAGCAGCTCCTTATTGCTTTCAATTATGGCCATGTCTTCTTCATTAAAAGTTAAGGACACTTCAACACCATCTCCATCTCGCACATCCATCAGCACAATCAAATTCTTGCCTTCGAGACTCTGATTCACCCACGATGGCTTTCCCCATCCAAAATCTGCTGCGTAGAAGGGAAACCTGCACCAACTGCTGCAGGTATAGATTTCTATATCATCCATCTGTAAGAGGTCCCCATACTCTTTCAAGGACTCACATGCATCCCCGGTAACATTACTAGCATATTTTACTTTGAACTCCTCAATGCCTTTCCTCAACTTACCAACTAAGCTTTGAAGGTCAAGATCCACGACTTCACTTTCTCCGGCCCTTGCTATAAACTTCCCCACAAGATTTCCCAATAAATTTTCTGCCGAGGGCCTGCACCAACACGTTTCGCATGTTCACCGCGTGACACCAGGCAGATGGCCTTATTGACCCGAATTTTGATTTTGATGCTTCCATTGCGCATTTCCAAATGAGAGCGGATACTACTTCAATGCGCGTAGGCTTTGGTACAGTAGCACTGGCAGACTTGGACTTGAGTGCAGCAATCTTTGAAGCGTCAAACAAATATCTCCTTGTTATATACTTTTCTTTAGGAAATTCCAAGGTCGGTTGAGGTGCATTGAGAATATCTTGTGGTGGAAAAAGAGAAGCTGCGACACCAAATTCTGCTGGCAGAACTGCCTCGCAATCAGTATTGGGCCTACTGGTCGAGTCAAGTGCAATTTCAGCCCATCTTTTGATGAATGTGCTGATTGTAGACGCATCCGCAACCTTATGCGCAATACTGACTCCAATTGCCATTCCACCGCATTCAAAGAAATTGGCCTGGACTAGTAGAAGATAGCCTGTGACTGCTTGTCTGGATGCCATATCAGCTGGAAGCAATTGTTTTACCATCCCAATATCTGCTTTGTCCAAAATCTTGGATATGGGACAGTTGACTTGGGCTTCAAGAAATGCAACACCATGGTCATTGCAACAGATTGAATCATTATAGTGGAACTTTCCTGCAAAGGGATAGAAGTGAGTGAGTATTTCAGATAATGATGTCTTAAGGATTTTTGATCTTTCAGCTGCTAAAGATCGGTGATCAGTATTATTGTTGGGATAGAAGAGAAGGAAGGGGACATAAATATCAGGAATAAGCTGATCAAAAACAGAGAGGTTGGTTGTTTTGAGGTAGTGAGGAGTTGTAGAGGATGGTCTGATTGCTTCCTTGTGAATGACTTCTACCTTCATCTCTGAACCCATCATTTCTCCGCACTTGAGTTGGGGAAAATGGTGTGAATATTTGTACGACCACAACCCTGCGCAAAGTGCCAAAGTCTGTAGTGGTCTACTAGATCCCGTTTATTGTCCAAACCTATTTTAAGGTATCCACAATATTATATACAACAGTTAGCCAATAATTGAGAAACAATATATTGTTAATGTCCACAAAGAGAGCGACTTTGGACCAATAACTATATGCAAAGAAAGATTCATTGTTCATCCCCTGCTATTTTCCTGTATGAAAGATTCATTAGTGGTTTTTCTCATAGGCTGTGTCATCACACGTACTTTATCTTTTTGTGTAGCTTCATGTTGTAATTGTTTCTCTGGACTCTGGAGTCGGCTCATATGGGTTTCTGTTTCTCTCATATATGTCAGGAAGGAAAGACAATTGCCGCCAAATTAGCGAAGTTAGGGTTGCTCTGCAGTTCAGTCAATTTAGGATCTCGAAATCAGGGTTGTCCAAAATGTCTAATATTAGTTGACTTGGGCTTCAAGAAAAGCAGCCCCGTGGTCATTGCCGTCGATTGAAACGTTGTATTTGAACTTTCCAGCAAGGGATAGAATTGAGTGAGGGCTTCAGATAATGATGTTTTTAGAAGGTTGGATCTTTTGGCAAAGAACGGTGATCAGAATTGACCTCATCACTAGAGCTGGGATAGAAGAGAAGTAGAGGGAACAAAATTCAGTTTGAAACTGATCGAAAACGGAGAGGCTCAAACTTGATAGGTGGGGAGGAGTTGGAGAGGATGGTTTAATTGTTTCCTTTTGAATGATTTCAACCTTCATCTCTGAAGCCATCTTTTAAACGACTTCCCACGTGTTATATTCATGTTTCTTCAAATGTCATGTCAACAAACATATTGAAGAATAGAGATATTGACAGCTCTTGTTACAGCAAATTAAGTAGACCATATGCCGCCGGCGGAAAGAGAATCAAAGAATATATGATTAGATTTCACTTGCCTCTTGTTTGTATTTCTTTTCACTTATACTGAAATTATTTGATAGGTTGTTTGGAATATTATGCCACCTCCTAGATTACAAAATTTTCCACTCAAAAGTTCGTTTTTGTCTTGTTAGATCAACTCGGACCTCTGATTATTGTGTAGAAGTTAGCTAACTAAACAGTAATGAGAAATTAACCTTTATAATTTCATAAACAATAGGATTTCGTTTTTAGTTATCTATCTGAGACCTGAAATAAAGATTCGTTTAATTATTGAACTGTGAAATATACTGTTTAGGGTACGGCTGTGATGGATTGGTTGGTTTGGTTTTAGGCCAACGCCGAAACCACTCGTTCTACTTTTTTGCTTTTCCTTCTTATTCTGTCTATTTATTGGATAATCATTAGATGATTAAATCATTTTGGATAGTTATATTTTTGTTAAGAGTACCTTTAAATTGTGATCTAAAAGAGTGTTGCTACTGACACGCCCCGATCCCGATGTCCGAGGGACATCAGGATGGTCACGTATTGGCCGACATCCGAAGATGACGCAAGCTATTTAATGAATGCATATGCCGAGAACATGTAACACATGCATATAAATTTTGTGCGTAACTGCGCAAAGAAATAATCAAATATAAGTCTTACAAAAATACAATAATAATATTCAACTGCCAACAAAGAATCTAATGATAATGCATGACATGTTGAGAGCATACAACTAATCCAGAGTATAAGCGGAAGGTAAAATAGAGAGGTGCTATTACAACAGATGTCAAAGCGGAGAGGATGGTATGATATTACTGGTAGGGGAATGCCTCGTAGCGCTAATCTTAAGCCTAATTCCTATGTCCTGAGGGGACGCAAAACAAATATAAGTGGATCGAGTTTATATATATATATATAATATTGAAACAGTTATCAACATACTAACCCCCAAAGTTTTATGAAAACTAATAGCATAATATGTAATAGGTTTCTTCGAAAGCCCTAGCATGCCATAAAACCTTTCATAAAACATATATCGTATAGTGTGCTAAATAATGGTATCATAATTGACCCGAAGGCCCCTACATCACCCGACTCGTAGGCCTAATATATAAATCTTCATTTGACCCATAGGCCTCTACATTACCCGACTCGTAGGCCAATATAATATCTCCTAACCCATAAGCCCCTACATCACCCAACCAAAGCTAATATAAGTATCGTCGCCCGTAGGCAAAACAGTGACCACTAGATGCGCACAAAACATTGAATATAATCTTTCCAAACATACGTACATATATCCCAAAACATCTTCATAGCATATAGTCATCCATCATATATACTACAAAGAAGTGTAAAAACATGTTCATAAATAGTATATAGTCATCCATCATATATACTACAAAGAACATAAGTTCGATAAAATATGGTATCCAAAATACTCTCAGTAAAGCATGATAATCATAAAGTGTAAATCTAATTTACTTATAAAATGTAACCATTAAATCGTGCTTTTCATGTATACATTTCTAACATTAAAATATGCATTTTAGAAGGGGTCTACTCACAGATACTCAATCGTCGAAAAGCCGTACGAAATAGGAATGATGGATTCGCCATTAATAATTGCACCTAAGCACATAAAGGGTCAAATTAATAAAACTATACTCAAACGATTGAATTTCGGAAAATGGACTTTATAAACAGATTCAAGACGTCGAAAAACATAAAGAGGGACCTCAGGTACCCCCACGCGCTGCCTCACACGCAGTCACAAGGTGGCGGCTCCGGCTGCCACATGCCGTCATGGGTCGTCGATGTCGCTGTGGACGATGGCATGTATGCTCCACGGTCGACACTGGCAGGCACCCACACACAGGCTCATGCTCGACTGGGCTTAGGATTTGGGCTGGGTTTAGGCCTGGGCCTGGGATCCTGGGCTTGGGTTAGGGTATTGGGTTTAGGTTCCTTGGGCCAAAGGCCTAAGCTACACACAGCCAGTAGGCCTGGGGTCCAAAGGGTTTTGGGTTTCGTAAATGGGTTAGGCTTCATTGCGCCTTGGGCTTGAAAGCCTGGCCCAAGGGTTTTTGGGTTTCAGAAAATAAATAAATAATTTAAATGGGTTTAGGCTTTAGGCCCAACTTCTACACGCCCCAAGGGCTTGAGGTTCTAAGGAGCTTTGGACTTGATAGCCTGACCCGAGTTCTAATTGTGGGTCGCCGAACCCAATCGAAAAAGAAGGCCGGAAAAATTCCTCCAAGCTCTATTCGAGCTCGATTTGCAAACCTAGGATACAATCTACTTACCAAAATGAAGATAAAGACAAAAGGGAATGTTTAGTACACTTCTCACACTGTGAAGTGGTCGGAGATGGCCGAATTCTCGCTCAAAACCCATAAGTTCACTGAAGGTTCTCAGTGTTCCACAGAGACGAGGATGAAGAGAGAGAGAGAGAGA